TTTCTCAAAAATGATATTTTAAAAAGCTTTTAAGCTGTTGGCGTACTTGACCGTGTTCAAACTATTTGAAACCTATAAAATGAAGAGCTTTAAGTTTGATTCTTCAATTTCATGTTTACGAGTTTTATTGATTTCTGAGAAAATGTAGGTCCGTAGCGAACCATTTGCCATTGAAGGGGAGAACTCAATAATGAGAGAAAACTGAAAAGACTCTTTACAGTAGAAATAAACTGCATTCAAACTTTTTCAAAAAAACCACAATTTAAAAAGTTACCCCTTTCGACCCATCGGTTGTCAGGGGTTAAGGTTTTTCTGTAAAAATGTGGGAAATCATATATCAATCAACAAAAAATTATTTGATTTTTAATAATCTACTTTTTTGGGCGTAATTAAGTTATGCCACAAAATTGGGTCAAATTACCCATAGTGCGCTGCTTACAAAGTGACTCAAATAACAAACGTTGTCAATCATAACGAAAAGTATTTATTATGAGCACACAGTAGACTATTTTTATATACAAATTTAAATTTCGTCTGCCTTAACACATTTCGAAATTTCACCTCTTCAAATAGAGTTGTGACGTAATTTCATAGATATCTACATATATGGTTACGCGGCCGTATAGACAAGTAGTTTGAGGTGCGTGCTAACACTCGATAGCACCCAGGTTGATATCTTGGCACCCGCTACATCCACAGGTGACCAAAAAATGTTTTTAGTAACAAATCTCGTCCCTCTGCCATGAAAAATGTTCCCCGTTTGTAGGCGGCGTTGAACTGTAGGACGTAAAATTCTCAAATCGTTTGACTACATCAAGGCGCCCGCAGCAAAGCGGAGAAGAAGCTTGGCCAAAAAGTTGAAAAAATTGGTAGCGTAAATATTTTTTTTTTATGTGTGTATGTATGTACATAAATGTATCCACACTCAAAAGAGTCAATAAAGTTTTAATCTTTATTGAGGTGCTAATTGTTAACGCGTCATAAATTTGTTGTACCGCTGCACAGTTATCATCAAAATTTGCCAATATAATTACGAAAATCTTACTATGGTTAGTAAATAATGTTATGAAGGAAAAGATTTTATGTAGATAACAATATTTGAAGTATGTACTACGTGGAGTAGAAAAAAGTAAATTCTTTTTTTCTTTTCCATCTGATAGCACGCGCAGACAATTGTTAATTTGCTTTCCGATTGTTTTTCGTTCTAGAAGTCGATTGTATGTGGATTTATACATATACTTACATAAGTACATATGTATGTACATTAGACTGCATCACTCCCCATACAAAAAAAAAAATCGGTACTATTTTTCCACTGGAATTATAAAATCTATTTTATTTTAAGACGTCCACCAAAATATTTCGGAAAAATATTAAGATTTAAGTGAGCTGGACCGATTTGAAAATACCTCCAAAAATGGAGTTTTTTATGAATAAAAATAGTTTCTTAAAGATCTTTTTTTATAAAATCCCCTCAAATGACAAAACGGTTTAAGCTCAAAATATTTGCATAAAAATATTTAAAAAAAAAATTTAAAAAATGTTGAACGGAATCGTAATGAGATTTTTGATGCTGTTTTTTAACTTTTTTCAAAGATTGGTATAAGAAAAACTTGAATAACTGAACCTAAACTCTTCGGATTTAGACTTGAGAGGTGTCATTGGAAAGGTATTTTCTCACCCTTTTTATTTCTTTGCTAATAAACTCATTCAAAGGATGGAAGAGAAAGGTAGGAGGAACGAACGTCATTCAAAGTTGAATTAAGATGATGTGTTGGTACTCGGAGAAAAGAGATGGGACACGAATGACATTTTTTGGCCAGAAATAAAAACAGTGTGAAAATACCTTTCTACTGAGATCCCATAAGTCTAAATCAGAACATTTTTGGCCCAGTTATTCAAGTTTTTCGTAAAGCAATCTTTGAAAAAGTAAAAAAAAACAGCATCAAAAATCTCATTCTTACGATTCCGTTGAAAAGATTTTTAAATATTTTTATGCAGATTTTTTAAGCTTAATCTAGTTTGTCATCTGAGGGGGACTTTTTTCAAAAAGTTCTATAACTCCGGTTTTGGAGGTATTTTCAAATCGGTCCAGCTCACTTAAATCTTAATATTTATCCGAAATATTTTGGTGGACGTCTTAAAATATAACAAATTTTGTAATCCAGGCGGAAAAACCGCAACTTTTTTTGGTGATGCAGTCTAATGTACATATATCATTTAAACCTGAAATTTGGCGCTGACTTTCTTGTCAAGTTTTTGGTAAATTCAAATTTCTACCTCTGAAGCTTTTCAAAGCGATTTAGGCAGTGCTGCCAGCAATTTTTCGTGAAAAATCGTAAAAGTCTGAAGTCTTTCAAACAGTATCGCCAATAGAACCGTATATGCAGTATTAATAAAACTGACCCCGCGGTAATTGGCGGAAACCGCAGCATCACCCTTCCATTGTATTAGGCCGAGTTTACTGTTAATCCAATCTTCAAGCATGTATTCATGCGAACAAATTACGCAAAAAAGCTGATACATATATGCATCCAGCTATCTCTTTGCCGCCGGCTTTAAATAGCTTAGCTGGAATACCGTCTTCTCTGGGGGGTTTGTTGTTTTTAAATCGTCTTGGTCGAGAGGAGGAACGTGGCCATCTACTAGCGAGTGGCTTTATATGCTGCATATTTCTATAGACCAATGAGACGGCACTCTTCGTCATACTACGTAGTTGTATCTGCGTGGGTTGTAGCCAAATACCTCAACGCAACGGTGCAAAGAGACTGGGAGTTGAGGTCACATTGTTCATTCTTATACGGATCAATAGGAGTTGCTTGTTTCAGCATGATTAATAGCCGGTTTCGAAATTTCTCTGCTCTCGATTGCAGCCTTTGGACGTCAAACCGATAATCTCTACAATCTTTTCGGGACATGGTAGTATTCTGGGAAATGAAGAAGCAAACGAGTTTTCGAGAAAGAGAACACTGCGAGGCATCACAGGACTTCGTCAAGCCAAGAGCTTATTAGGGGGGAACAATCTAAATAGATACAGGCTACTCATAAACCTCCCCAGGGAGAGGCTAAGAATAATTTCAGGCATTTTGACGGGTCATTGCAGGGTTAGGGGCCACAGGTTTAATCTGGAGATCTGGTCAAGCCATTGCACCTTCTCTTGTAGTGTGAGACCGTTTCACGAAGAAGAGAGAGGTGCTTAGGAGATTTATGGCAAAGTGAAGAGCACATAACGCCCTGTCCCATTCTAAAATGCATAGAGTCTCTGGGGCCGGATTCAGAGTTGTGATAAGTTAAGGGCACAATAGACTGGCAGGTTCGAAGCCCCATGAAACGAATTCTTTAGAAGCTCTAGAGATGAGGAAGACGCACCGCACTCCGAAGAAAGTAGCTCAAATTTCTAGTGGAACACTTCTTTGAGAACTTGGGCTAAAAGTGAAAACTGCATTAGAGAACTTACTAGAGCTCACCAGAAAATCGGAATGATATCAACACATGCCGAGACAGGCCTGTCAAAATTCATTCATGGGCATCAGAATGGGCCTGTACGGTCTTTGAGCGAATTCTAGCCCAACCTGCATGCCATAGCAAAAGTAGAGGTCTGCTTGAAATATGCTGCAGTGGTCAGTTAATCTTACTGCCCATCTGGAGTTCAGCTCCCGGAAGCGATTAGGTCAATAGGCTTAGGTTAAACTTTCTACACAGAGAAATTTTCGTTTTCAAATTTGTATAGAACGTTTTACTTTTAAAAACGTTTTGACCCAGGTTTTGCACCTACAATATTTGTTTTAGTTTTGAGAATGGAAATTTTTGATATCAGATTTCAAACTTTTTATTTTAGTTTGCAACACGCACATTGTCGGGACACTTTCTAAAATCTTCGTNAGCAGCCGTTGGAGTATACTGCAACGCTCTCGTGGTGCAGAATGCCGCGAGAGGCTGAACGTTCTCCATTAGTCGGAGGTGTGAAAATTTGTTTGCGGCAATCCACTCCACCAAATCGCCATAGAGTAGTTTCTGTCTGACTACTTATTGCTGTGTAGCACCAATTCATCAGAGCAACTGACTCCCTGCATTCTCTTGCGTGAATAAGCAACGAATATCCACTGATTTATGTATATTAAAATCATTTCTGCGAGGAAATCATATGATCGGTCGGGATTAAATTAACACTACCCAAGGGTAGAGAAAAGAGCCACGAGCTTTCGTTGTGCTTCAGTTCAAGGTCTGTCTGGAAAATTATAAAAGCTAAAGATTCGCATGGCGAAAAACTACAAAAGTATTTAATTGTTTATATTTTCCGCAAATTTGCAAACATTGTTATGACGCCAATATCAGCAACACTTAGGTTCCGCCCGACAAAAAAAAAAAACATTATGCAATTATATAAAATATGTTTGTATATAAAACACTTAACTAAGCCTTACTCTTTAGCAAGTCAGTTAAATGTTTATTTACGACAGCAAAAAAAATAAATAAAATAAAATTCAACCACTTTAAAGTGTGACGCGCCAAAATCTCCACAGCACCAATTTCTGAATTAATAAACTTAATTACCACTACTAATGGCATTTGCAAATTTGTGAAACAGCAACATTCCAATACAATAGATAACAATAGGGAAAAAAATCGCCACGTAAACACACAAAGTATCCTGCCATAAATCTCTTTAGACAAACGAAGAAAGAGAAGAAGAAAAGAAAATAATTTACACAAATAGTTGATTCGAAATTGCCAATAATAAAATTGTGTAGAGGTGTTAATAGCTCGCGTAATTAAAGCGTACTGAGTATGTGCAAATTAGTTACTTCCACTCCGATATATGTATTCGTAATCGTTTTTTAGCTAAGATGTTGAGAGTTTCTTTAGCTTTCGTAGTACAAATGGATTTTATGGAGATGTGTGAAAAAGACGAAAATGCGTTAAAAATATATAATCACGTTTGTGTTTTCAGTTAATTTTGCTTAACTTGCACTCAGTTCGATTGTAGCTTTCGTCGGATCATGTCACTGAGCGATCTTTATCGGCCGCGTCAATCCTCTCTGAGTAGCAGTGACAGTACCGTATCCGCTGTTGTTGCACCATTTGTTGTGTGGAAGCCGAAACAGCGCGTTCACTATCAAAATGAAATGCCAGGATATGTGCAAAAGTTTGTCTAAATTGATTGAGAATTAGTGAAAAAAAAATCAATTTGAAAATCAAAGTATTATTTTGTGCTGTGCTCGCGAATTTGGGAAGCTTTCAATACGTAGCCGTATTATTTACAGTTTTCGGCTGCAGAAAACTACCAGAAAAAATTGTGATTCCTTTGTTTTCGTTTTTAAGTGCTAGTGTAAATAGAAAATAATCACGATGTTTCCAAAGAGGTTGAAGTAATATTAGTTTTTAAAAAAAAATTTGTTTACGCTCGTTCTCATTTGAAACTATTATGGCAGCTATGCTTGTGCAATTCATATACATTCGTCATAACATCAGTATAGCACGATTTCTTCCTCATTTTTCCTTAATCTTTCTCTTTAGTTAGTCGAAAAAAATTGTTCAATGTATGTATGGTTGGATATGTGAATGTATGTATATGTAGCTTGCTTTTCTACGCACTTCGAAGATATGTAAAAATGTACACTACGCTTCACTTGAATAAGTAAGCAAATTATTATTCTTCAAGAACCGAACTTATACATATCTGCACTTTGGACCATCGAACCTCAACCTCGTTTTGAAGTCCGATAAATTTTAAAACAAATTGGTGAACAAGAGAAAGAAAATGAAATCTAGTACGGCTAGCTTTTTATGTGAAAGTACATTCTGATTACTTTTTCGATTAATTTCAACAAGCACAGTAAGTGTGTGATCCTCGCGTGTAAATAGAAATTAATTAAATTGTCGTTAACAATTTCTGGGGTGTTTATCAGACTATTTCATTCGAAAAATTTGACGAGTCCCTGTTTTCAAGGAATTATGGCCTGCTTTCGCGAATAAAATCAAAGATAATGTAAATATACTTATCAGCTGTAGCCACTACCCAACGTCGTTTCAGAAAAGAGGAAATTTAACCAAAACAAAAAAAGTTCAAAGAAGTGAGCGACGCTCCATGGTGAGATCAGTTTCTTATTGCCATACGTAAATTACGTAAAAAAAGTATAAAGGATATACACTTGTGGTCAGCTGATTAAGTCAAGTGACATTTTGACTAGTTTTTGCTCTTTTAATTTTGTTTATTTAATGTTTATGCTTTATACAAGTTTAACACTTTACTTAACCAGCGCCACATAAAACCACATTTCAACTTCGTACAAAAAATATGAAAATTCAACAAACTTTAACATTTGCACCCAAAAATTTTAAACTTTTTTATTTCGAATTTTTTGAAAAATTTTGGGTATACAGTTTTTTAGCTCATTAAATTGAAGACGCTAGAAAATCGCGTTGATTTTTAATAATTTTTTTTTGCTGACGGCGCTAGGCATTTTCTCCCAAACAAACGAAATGAACGAAGAAAATGCACAACAACGTCAGCCAAAAAAATTATTAAAAATCAACGCAACAGTGCTGGCCAACTTTTTACTAATAGATACAAATAGGAAAACGGCTACTTTAAAATATCAATCAAATTAGGTCCAAATGTTCGTATTCACCTGTGGTAATCAAACTTCAAAATGATTTTGCTTTACCGCATCAATTTTTTAAATAAAAGTTTAGTTTTTTTTTAATTTCCTCTACAAGAAGCCTCCGCCAAATATGGCTGAAACCTCTAGTCCAACAGCCCTAAATGAGAGGTGCGTATTATCATTCGAAAGGGTTCCGGTTCGAGTCTCTAGATCGCGAAACATTAAATTTGTACAATATTATAAAGAGTTTTTTGTTCGGAATTACGCTAGGGAGTCGGTACAGCAACACATATGTATGTATTAACTCTTTCAGGGCCAAGTGGAAAGTGTTTCCGGAAAAATGCTACTCACAACTCGTCAGATACGTGCTGACTTCATAATTGGTTTGATATATTGATGCGTTTTAAACCTCTTTCCGCTACTTTTGTTTGGATAGCCATTGTGTGCGCGTTACTTGAAGTTGCATCCCTTTTACTTTGCCACTGAGTTAGCCATATTTCAGGAGGAGTTCTTTAAATATTTCGGGAATTGATTCGTAATGAAAATGAGAAAGAAACCAGTTGGACGGAGTTCGGACGAAAAAGGTGCAATTTTTGCGATTTTCGGAGTCACCTTAGACCTATTATTTTATAACTGCTCCTATATTCGAAATATAAATTTAAATATCCTGTGGCTTTACAAATGTTTAATTATATACGGTTTTAATCTCTTTTGACAAGAAATAATATTTCAGTGCCAGATAATCTTCTTAAGAAAAAGAAGGCATAAAATAACTCCCAAAAATTATATATTAACGTGCAAATAAGCTAGGAAGTCTATGCTTTAGAATCAACTGAGGATAGCACACCACGGAAAATTTTATTGTCTTGAAAACCCGTTTTTATCAAAATTTTTACTTAAAGCCTTTTATAATGATTGAAATGTGTCACAAAAGTGTGCTGTGCGTTGCATAAAAACTCAATTAGCCTCCCAGAGTTAAATACTACCACATTAGTTGTCTAATACAGATATTGCAATACATACAGACTTACTTAAACCACATGTTTAAACATTTTAAAATGTAAACTAATAATAACTAAAAATCTGTTCGTTTTTTAACTCAGCTTATCCAATATCTAAAATTAATTGCAGCTCGTAAATGTTGTACAAACATTACCCCTATCCAACCGGCCGGCCAGACATGTGATAATTATTTACACAAACAATTTCATTTGAGAACTAGAGTTTACTTCCAATTTTAGAATTGTAAAAAAAATTATCAAATGGTGATAGCTTATCATAAGAGGTATGTTTATATATCGTCGTTTAAAGTACAAAACCGCGTATCATTAAAATTCAAAACCTCTTATGTGAAGTCGCCAAGATTTTGTAGGTGCGAGTAAAGCTAGTCTTATTTCAAAACGGTTCTCTCTTTTATCCCTAGTTATCTCTTCCTCTTATGTCTAAATATCGATATTTTAGTATAAATCGATAAGAGCTTGATGCCAAGAGCTTCCTTGGTGACCAAATCTCTTTTTTGCCACAAATGTCAATTACGCGGTTTTGCAGCACGACGATACGCGGTTTTGTAGTTTAAACGACGATGTGTATTCAAATGATGATGTTTAACACATACATAGATATGTATGTAGGTTAATGACCGAGATTGATATGGATTAAGTAACGGTACATTCATACGCACAAATTTGAGAATGGTCATGCATTTAGTGCTAAAAATCAGTACAATCAGTTAGTAAACTTTTTTCTAACAGTTTCTAAACTTATTTATTCCTTTAGCTTACTTTAAAAAAAGTGAGATTCTTAAAAATATTTTACAAAAATGTAAAATTAAGGAAAATATAAAAATTAATTTGTATGGAAAACTGATTTATTTACGAGGTATACCCTGAAAAATTTTTGAAGAGCCTGAAAGCAATTTCGTATTCTGCACAAATTTTCACGTCAGTAAACGATTTCAAATGATAATTATAATTCATTCATCAATCTTAAAAAAATATATAAAAATACCAGCCATGTACACTTTGTTTGGAAATTACCCAAATACATTTTTCATTTCAAAGCAATAAAAGCTAAATAAAACAGAAATAAACAAAAAGTAAATTTAAAAAGATTAAATAAAATAAGATCCTGAAAATTAAATGATATAATACAAATATATTTTTCTTTTCAAAACAATAAAATGCAAAAATTAAAAGAAACTTAAAATGGCATAAGGAAATAAATTCAATTAAAAAATAAGAAACAAATGAAATAATTTTCAAAAAATTTTAACTCGCCCATTGCGACAGTTAGAGCGACGCGAGCTGAATGATATATACATATATACATAAGTAGCTTTTCGTCAGGAGTGGTGAACAGGGCTGCCAACTATCCTTAGCTATGAGGATAAAAAAGTGTCAAAAACGGTGCCATTCATTTCAATTCTTTCCATTTAGCATTAAAATTAGAAAAACATTCTTAAAATGAAAGCCCAATGCCAAACCAAGATAAACCAGTTGTATACACTATAGAAATTAGAAAATTTTACTTAAGAAAAAGAGCTGTTTACCTAAGAATTTTGTACTCTTACATCGAAAGACTTTTGACTACTTTAGCCAGAATTGTCCTGTAATATGGGTATTTAGTATCCAATTAGGCACCTTGTTACTATAAAGATAAAAGTATTTAAGTATGCCCATCACTGATAAAAAACCTTATTTCTTCTTGTATTTGACCCTAGCACTAATCTGCACTTTGTTAAGTTTCAAGTGAATTCCTATTTTTGTAGCTTAGTGTAATTCACTCCAAAAGCTTACAACTCGGTTGGGTATGTGCGACCAATTTCGTCTCCAACTTTCATTAAGGTCCAATCTTCTGATAAAAAATAATGCAATGATATTATCAAGAAACAGTTGCCTACCAGATCTATGTATGTATGTATAAGTCAGAGTTGTTAAAAATGCAGTAATATTTTAATGCATCAATGGTAATTAACGCAATAATGCTAATGTAAAAAATGAATGAAAAAATTTCAATGCAATAATTCTGAAAAAATATAATGCTAATGAAATTTATTTTCATTAAATTATCTAAACTAATGCTAATAAATAAATTTCAATGCATTAAAGTTTTTAGTAATTTTGCTCGTTTTCATTATTAAAAACAATTTTTTTCTAGTGATGTATAAATATCCTCTTTTGGAAGGACTTCAAATAATTACTAATAGTTTTTTCAGCTTCATTCTTTTATGTTTATTTTTAGAAAAATTCTTGTACACATTCTTGGACGTTTTATGAAAATAAAAGTGATGCCGTGCAATAAAGCCATAGGAAATAAAGCCATATGGCTTTATTTCACTTTACATTGAGAAATAAGTCCATATATTTGCGTATGGTCTTATTTCTCACCGTGAAAATGAAATAAAGCCATTATGGCGTTATTGCACCTTTGGTAATTTTTTGTGTAACCTAGTGCACAGCTGGTGTGCATATTTACATAAAGTGAAGGTACAACTTGCAAAACAAAAAAACGTCCAAAACTGTCAGGAGGGGTACCAATCAGC